CACCAACACCAACACCACCATCACCATCATCACCACCACCAACACTACCACCACCACCATCATCACCATCACCACCACCACCACCATCACCGCCAACACCAAAACCATAATCACCAACACCACCATCACCATGACCACCACCACCACCACCACTACCCCACCCATATTTGGATCTGACTCCAGCAGCATCTGATGTGGGGTGGAGAGGGGGAATTTATTGTGACTGGAAGGAAACACTCATCTTCTCCCATAAAGTTTTCATTGTGGAAAGAAATCTCTCTTGTCCCACTGGAAAGCTGTTTGTAAATGCTGATGGGAGTAGGGCCCAAAAAATCAACAGGGGAGGCAGGGAGGCACCAGGCTCTGCTGGGGAGAAGCTGGGTGGGTAAACCGGTCAGACAGGTCCTGAGTTTGTGATTAGTGACCAGTGGAAGGCAGAGGAAGGATGGAAAGAGGGCAGGGAAGTTGCTCATTCACTTAGGCCTGCAATTAAAGAGACATTGCATGGGCATGAAACATTGCCCAGGACACTTACACCAGGCCTTCAAAAAGTTCATGGAAAATGGATGTTATGAAAAAATCACGCACAGGTCTCAAAAAAGGCTTGTGCCAAAATAAGCTAATCTTTTACATTTGCTTGCTGGATTTTTGTTGTTGTTGTTGTTTTATTTGAAAGACACAGACAGATGAAGAGAGAGATCCTTTGCTGGTTCAATCCCCAAATGCCTGCCACAGCCAGGGCTGGGCCAGGCCAAAGCCAGGATCCTGGACCTCAGCCCCAGTCTCTCACATGGGCGGCAGGGACCCAAAGACTTAATCATCACCTGCTGAGTGCTCCCGGGATGTGCCTTTAGCAGGAAACTGGATCAGAAGTGGAGTAGCTGGAACTTGAACCAGGCACTCTGATATGAGCTGTGGTTGATTTTAACTACTATGCCACACACCTGCCCCTAAACTAATCTTTTGGGTCCCTTTCCATGAACTTTTCGAAGTACCCTCCTGGGAGACAAGTCAAAGACGAAGCAGGGCAGTGGCAGCAAATCCCCCCGAGCACACACCCGGGCCCTCTCAGCCTCCCCTTCCTCTCCAGTTGGCCCAGGAAAGTGACTCACATCCGCCACTTATGTCTTGGTGCCCTATCGTAAATACAGAGGCACCTGCATTTCCCAATTAGGGAGTGAACTGGGGCTTTAATCCCACATTGGAGGACTCTGAGGAAGCCCGGCCTCAGTGGAGAAGCCCTTGGCAGTGAACGCAGATTCTCAGTAGCCGTGATCTTCCTCCACACAGGAGGCACCAGGAGATGAGGGAGCCCCCAGGGGACCAAGCAGTGTGCAAATGGCTGCAGACAGGACGTTGGAAGAGACAGCTGGGCTGACTCCACACCTTGACAGCCCTAAGGATGGGAAGGTGGGCGGATGGCACTGTGGCATAGCGGGTTAAACCGCTGCCTGCTAGGCCAGCATCCCATATCCTAGCTGCTCCACTTCCCATCCAGCTCCCTGCTAATGGCCTGAGAAGGCAGTGGATGATGGCCCACGTGCTCTTAACAAGTTAAGTCTCACAATAACATTGATGTATAAAGTACTGCCTTTTTGCTTAAAGATTTATTTATTTATTTGAAAGGCAGAGTTTGAGAGAGAGAAGGAGAGACAGAGAGGAGGGAGATCTTCCATCCACTGGTTCACTCCCCAAATGGCCAAAACAGTGAGGGCTGGGCCTAGGCAAAGCTAGGCACATCATCTGGGTTGCCCACATGAGTACAGGGGCCCAATACTTGAGCCATATTTCACTGCTTTTCCCATTAGCAAGGAGCTGGATGGGAAGTGGAGCAGCTGGGACTCAAAGTGTTACCCATAGGGGATGCTACCATTGCAGGCAGTGGCTTGGCCCACTGAACCACAGTGTTACTTCTGTAGTAGGCAAACCATATCATTTATGGAACACTTGGTATACACCACATGTTGTTCTAATGTGCTCTGCCTTAATTCACTCAACCCGTTTTTAAAACTTCATGAGAAGTAGGATTATTATCCTCATTTCATAGATAAGACACCTAAGGCACAGAAAAGTTAGGTAAGTCATTCAAGATCACATAGGTAGGGGCCTGCACTGTGGTGCAGTAGGCTAAGCCTCCAGCTGTGGAGCCGGCATCCCATATGGGCGCCGGTTCCAGTCCTGGCTGCTTCACTTCCCAATCTAGCTCTCTGCTAATGGCCTGGGAAAGCAATGGAATATGGCCCAAGTGCTTGGGCTCCTGCCCCGGCGCGGGAGACCCAGAACTTTCTGTTTCCTGGCTTCAAACCGGCCAAGCTCCAGCAGTTGTGGACATTTGGGGAGTAAACCAGCAGATGCAAGACCTCTCTCACTGTCTCTCCCTCTCTCTGTCTATAACTCTGCCTCTCAGATATATAAATAAATCTTTTTTATAAAAAAGATCACATAGGTAGAAAGTGGTTGAATCTGAAAATAGGGTGCTATTTAATCATGTTTTTAAAATGGCACTCCTGTTCCTTGTTTCCAATGTTAAAAGCAGCTGATTAGAATAATATATTTCTATCTCACAAGAAATAAAAACCAGCTTGGATGGCTTCTGATTTATGTGGCTTTCTCTGATTTTCCTTTTCGCTTCAGTACAAAAGTCCCGTAGGCCCCTGCACTGAGAGCCAGGCTACCGGTAGATGCTAAGAACAGACTTCTCGGACCTCACCCTTGATTCTGACTGCTGCTGCTACCCGGTGCCCCGTCCTGAGCAGCCATGACGATGGAGGCTCTGCCCAGCGTCCTGGAGGTCGATGAGAAGTCCCCAGAATCTAAGGACCTGCTGCCCAGCCAGACAGCCAGCTCACTGTGCGTCAGCTCCAGGAGTGAGTCCGTCTGGACCACCACGCCCAAGAGCAACTGGGAGATCTACCGCAAGCCCATCATCACCATGTCGGTAGGCAGTGCCATCCTGTTGTTCGGCGTGGCCATCACCTGCCTGGCCTACACCTTGATTATGGATAAGACTATCATCAACGTCCTCAAGATGACAGGACCCGCCTTCCTGTCCCTGGGACTCATGATGCTGGTGTGTGGCCTGGTGTGGGTGCCCATCATCAAGAAGAAACAGAAGCAGAGGCAGAAGTCAAGTTTCTTCCAGAGCCTCAAGTTCTTTTTCCTGAATTGTTGATGGCATTGCCCTAACACCCGCCACCTTGACCAGGAGAAGATCTGATGACCAACATCCCCCAACATCCCCACCTCCACCGTGGGGTGCAGCAAAACTGATCCCGGCAGTCTCCCTGGCCCTGAGCTCTATCCTCCAAGCCACCTGGGAGTGTTGCTGGATGAATCTCACATTGTCTCTCTGCTGTCACATAGCCATGGCCATCCCCTTCCAGTGCTCTCGTCCCTGCTCCTGCATCCAGGCATCGTTCCTCTAACTCTCGGCCAAGTGCAGTGCATGCTGGGAAATTCCTCAAGAACCAGCAGTGCCTGGAGGAGAACTTCCTGTTTACATATCTGAGTGCCTAAGCTGGATTCCACGTTTGCATCCTTCTGGAACCAAAACTGACCGACAAAGCTCCTTTACAGAGAAGGAAGGGAAGGTTGAGCTCTGACCCATCGGGTTTGACAAGCCCTACTCCCTTAGCGGGTGAGACATTGGCTTGCAAATCCAGAGGCTAGAACAAGTATCAAGCATTCCAAAGACTGAGCCGTGGAGGCAGGTGGGGGAAGAACACTTCCCATGAAGCCATACCCCCCTGGAAATGGCTCTGGCAGTTAGCCAATTGAACACCTTTAAATTCCCAGTTCTATAGTGTTTACCCCTGAGGCAATGGGGTAGGCTAGCGGGTGCCATGTTTCCCCTTGACCTACTAACTCCTTCTCACTGGTGACTTTCGCCATTGCCAAGGACAAGTGCATGTGGCCCTGGCTTCCTCTTTCCCGTTCCACTTGCTCTATCCTCAGCGTTAGAACGGGCTGATAGACAGTGACAGAGGAGTTCTGTAAGCTGTCCTCCCCATCTCCTTCAAGTTCAAAGCTGAGAAGATCCAATTTCACATCTTGCTTTCCAAAGAAATAACAGCCAAGCCCAGTGGCATCTGGAGCAGCCTGTTCTGAGTTCTTGGAGCAGTTGTGGGAATGCAGGAATATCCACTCCAGACTTGGAAGAAGGCAGAGATTCTCTTGGAAGCCTTGTCACCCAGGCTGAGACTAAATGGAAAGAAAGAGTTAGCACCGAGGGGACTGGGATGGCGCCCCACCCAGGTGGTAGGAACAACTCGAGTGTGACAAGACCAAGAACCGTGTGGCCACTTCCCTGCCCTCCCAGATGTTCAGCTTCCTCCCATCACTCACCTGCTTCCCGGTTCCTCCCCCAAGTGCCTTACACGGAGTTCTGGTGACACATTGAGGGCCTCCTGCAGCCTATGGGAGAGGCTGAAAGTGGGTATCCAGATTGTGCACCAAGCAGAGAGTTCTTTTGGGGTAAGTGCTCCCAAAAATCAAGGTTTCCTGTAAGAAACCAAAAAGCCTTGGGATGATACACGAGGTGGTGCACCTGAGAACCAGGGTCATGGTGCCCCACGCCAGGCCAGGGCCCCCGAGGGACAGCGTTGGATAACATCGCCATGAAACCCTCTCTCCCAACAGACCCCCAGGTGTCTCCATCCTCCACAGTGGTCCCACACGCAGAGTCAGCACCCATCCTTGTTCTTTCTGCATTGTGGGAAACTCCAGCGAGGCAAGTGCCTGTGTCGTGAGAACACTCCCTGCACCACCCACTTAGGAAGCCAGAGTCTGGGAAACCTGTGATCTTTGAGGGGCATGGGGTTGGGACTGATCTTGGGGGCGTGGCAAGAACTCTGTCACTAACTGTAATTACGCTTCTAGTGTCTGCAGGGACCTATCCTGCAGAACATCTCGGTTTTTTTTTTTTTTTAACTTTTTTTTTTTTTTTTTGACAGAGTGGATAGTGAGAGACACAGAGAGAAAGGTCTTCCTTTTTGCCGTTGGTTCACCCTCCAATGGCCGCCGTGGCCGCACTGCGCTGATCCAATGGCAGGAGCCAGGTGCTTCTCCTGGTCTCCCATGTGGGTGCATGGCCCAAGGACTTGGGCCATCCTCCACTGCACTCCCTGGCCACAGCAGAGAGCTGGCCTGGAAGAGGGGCAACCAGGACAGAATCCGGCGCCCTGACCGGGACTAGAACCTGGCGTGCCGGCGCCACAGGCGGAGGATTAGCCTAAGTGAGCCACGACGCTGGCCTCATCTCGTTTTTTCTAACATGAATGCACATTCGAGATCAGCCTGCAACACCCCTCTCTTGCTCCCCAACGTTGTCTCACATGGGATGAGTTCCCCGGCCAGCTTGCCACAAATCCACACTCCCCATGCCACATCTCTCAGCTCCAGGGCTGGTAGTCTGGCCTCTGTGGATGCTGCTCCATGCATGCATTAGTGGAAGGAAGTTGGGGGGAGGGGGAGGACGGCGGCCAAGGCTCTAGAATGTGTCCAAGTTCAAGGCTGATTCTGCAGCCTCCATTCCCTGCTCCTCAAGCCAGAGTCTCAGCAGGGGAAGATCCTCACATGTCGTCCATGTGCACTGAGATCCTGACGTGAGCATGGGCCAGGGTCACAGTGACACAGGACATCTCAGAGCTTCTGCCAATGTCAAGGTGTTGGATGGACTGTGAATGGAGCTGGGTCAGATGCCACGCTCCTGCCACAAACACCCCCTGCAGTAACTCCTCTCAGGTCTGCAGGTGGGAGGACAGGACCAGCACTCATATTTTCAGCTCTTCTCTACTCTCCCCACCCACACTCCACCAGTAGCTATTCTGTTTGGATGAATTTGATCTGATCTGAGGTCTGAAGATATCCATGTCATATTGAATTACAGTCTGTTTAATGGGATCTGCTGTGTTTTCATTCTGTTCCATCAGTAATTCTAAAACTGTGTTCATTAATTCAGTCCTCTAAAACACCCCACCCGATGCACACATCCCACCCCCACCGCCACGCCCGAGCGCTGCCTGGGAGGGAAGCAACAGTGTGGGTTTCATGTCTGGTTTCTGGGGAGCTCCCCTAGAAGCCGATGGCTGGACTCTGAGATGCTGCAGAGAGACCAGCAGCTTCTATCTCTTTCCACCCCACAAGCACAGTACGGAGAGAAAGACAGACATGGAGAAAGAACCTTCCAGAAGGAATCAGTTCTTTGGGGTGAGGCAGGCAGATCCTCCAGGGTCAGCCTGTCGACCTCCACATGGACCAGTGAGAGCAGGCACAGGAGAGGAGTGCAGCTGAGCTCCCTGGGTCTCCCTGGCCTCTTCCCTTCTGGTCCACCCCATTCTGCACCCTGGGCTGCTCCATCCTGGGTCCCTTTCCCATGGCACCCCACCAGGATCACAGTGCCCCGGCTTTCTGCTCGCCCCAGCTGGCTCAGTCCTGAAAACAGCAGAGAAAGAGGACGGCGCTGGGCTGAGTGCAGCAGGGCCTGTGTCTTCGTCCATTCCTGGGCTTCGTCCAGAGCTATGGGTGCCCACACCCATCACTTCCTCGCCGTTCCCCAGCCCTTGGAGCTTCGAGGGCCCTGGGAAACTAAAACTCAAAGCCACAAGTGGGTCAGACGTGTGCAAGGGAACTTTTGGGGAGGGGGTGCACCTAATGACTATTTGTCTACCCAATATCTATCTTCTCATCTTCTCTGGTGATAAAAGCCCTATTTTACTGAAGGTAACAAGGCAGCCAGGCAAAATAGGATCTTTCCTCAATGGCCCCCAGCCTCTCCCTTATAACAAAGGCTGGCCAATGAGATGCACAGGTGCACCTTGACTGACAAGGGGCTACATCTTAATAAACCCATATGCTGAAAGTATTGTAAGTCAAAAATGCACCGACTATACCTCCCCTACTCACCGCACTTGCCAGCTTCACAACACTGCACACTGTAGGTATCAGCTGTTTGCCTGTGTGATCAAAAGGCTGAACGGGAAGGTGCACTTACTGCACCAGCATCATGAGAGAGGAGCAGATCACACATCGCTAGCGTGCAAAAAGATCAAAATTCAAAATTTCATGCACATTTTGTACTGAATGCCTATCACTTTCGAGTAACCATTGGGGAAGTTGGGGACAATCAGTGTGTATGGAAATGACAAGGTGGGGACTAGGGGAGCTCTTCACCTGCCACAAGCTGTGGTCCCTCCATCGTTCCCTTTTTGGATGTAGATCCCATGGATGGAGCTGCAGCTGCCATCTTGGCACCACCTACTGACCTTGTCAAGGATAGCCGAGCAAAAAGTGGGAAGATGCCTGTGACCTTGAAGGGATCCTGGGATCTCCTGGGCTACCTAGCCCCAGGCTTCTCTTACAGAGACAAAAATAAAACCTTCTCTCAGTTGAGTCACCATGATTTGGAGTCTGTAACTTGCAGTCAAATGCAATTCTTAGCTCTACAGGAGACAAGTCTGAGTTGAAGAGTTATTTTCGTCCTCTGCGCTCTGCATACGGTTTGACTGGTATCAGTAGCCAATGCACTAAGGACTGAGAATCTCATAAACCAAACCTGAATCAGTGATCCTACATTTGTTTGTCATCCACCTCCCAGCATTCTCCAAGTCTTGGAGGAAGGAGGAAAAGGCAAAAGGATCATCATTACAATGGCCCAGTCCTCTTGCCTTCCTGAGGCCGGCCAGTGGGGCTGAGGGTCTGTGGGCCCCTTCAGACACAGGTAGAATGTCCTTCACAAGCAGGCTGTCATCTGTGGCTGGAAAGCCTGTCTCCAGACCATCCGGCATCTCCCCCACTAATAGCTTCTCGTGCTGCACGTGTGACCTTGCAGCCTTAAACCTCACCTTCAGGGTGGGTGCAATCTTTCACTCAGAGCTGGCAGGGGAAGAGGCTGAGCACTGGGGGAGAGTTGGACCAGCTCTGGGAGACCCTGGCAATCTTGTATAACCTTGTGCTTTTAAACCATGCCTTCAAGTTAGTCGCAATCTTCCACCCAGAGCTAGCAGAGGAGTGGGCTGGGCCCCTAAGGAGACAGTAGGAGACCCCCGCTATCTCCTAGAGCTTCAAGCCAATCAACATACTTATGTGAAACCCTCATCCAATGGGTGCCCCCCCAGAATGATCCAATGAAAAATATGTAATGCCTTAAAAACCCAGGGCACTTCCTCAAAGCCAGTGTCCCGCTTGGGCACTCACCTGGTCTCCTCTCTGACCAGATGCTTTCTCTATCGCTTGCCAATCAAATAAAAGTTTCTGCCTATTTGTAAATTGCTTCCTGGCTTTTTATTTCTGTACTAAGCTAAGGAAAAGAACCCACGAGACTCGCTCCGGCAACTGCCCTCCCCTCCATGACCGTGACAGGTGGAGGGACTAACTGTAACAAATTAACTAGCATTGTTTGCAGGAGACACCACATTTTCTTCCTCCCAGGGTTCAATGTCCACACTTGTCAAATTAAGATAATCTAACTTTACCAAACATAT